GTTTGTTTCTAAGTTCGGAGACATCATGGGATCATCATCGTCGTCTTGTGAGTCTGTAACTGTTTCTTAGTTTTCTCAGGATGTTGTCATTTCTCGTTTGCCACAATTTACTTTCATCATTTCTGAAAAAGACAGAGGAAACTACTTATTGCCAAAATATGGTTCAATTAATCCAATGAAATAAAAAGCAAAGCTTTTCTCTCTTTCTGATGATCTGTACGAAAATGTTTTTTTGTTTTTGCAGATGCTAGAGGGGATCAGGTAAGTAGACCAGTCAGACATGAAGGCTGTGACATGTTACTGAGACTGGTTTTAAAAATAATTTAATGATTTAATTGAGGAATTAAATTTGTTTTCTTTTTTTCTAATCCCAGGTTGACAGGGAGCCAGAGCTCGGGGACTTGATTGAGATCTCCCGTGACAACTATAAGCACTGGGCTGTATACGTCGGTGCGGGCTTTGTTGTTCACTTTGTAAATCACTGTAAGTTTCAGTCCTGACCTGCTACCAAATATCAGCAGATCTAACAGCCCACATTCATTCAGTGTAGTTTTCAGACCACAAACAATATGTTTGTAGACTTGACTGTCACAATGATCCACTTACCAGAAATGAATAGGTTTGCATTCAGTGTAGAAACTCTTTATGAGCCGTTTTTATTTTCCTCTGTTTCGACCTGAAAGATGGAGTCTCCAGCGGTGCTGCTGTCCAAGCTGCAAACGGCATTGTGCGGAAGGAGAAGATGTGGGATGTGGTGGGAAAAGACAAATGGAAAATCAACAACAGCATGGACAGGCAATACGAGCCACGCCCAGCTAATGCTATTGTGGAGGATGCTAAAGCGTTGGTGGGCAAAGAACTGCGATACGACCTTGTCTCATTTAACTGTGAGCACTTTGTCACAAAGCTGCGGTACGGTGTGGCCGAATCACCGCAGGTGGGTTAAACCGTGTTGCTGCTTTCAGGAAACAGTGTTTATGGAGCTGCTGTGAAAAAATGAGATAAAAAGGCACCGATGTTAGTCTGCTGCTCATGGAAGAAGCAGCTTTACATTATTATTTCATTATTAGGACAAGTAACAAAACCAATAACAATCGTTGCGCTGTGTGATATTCTGTCAACTAAAACCAGATCATACATGACACTGACGGCAATTAGTTATAATATTTAGACACACGAGGGTGAAGCACGCAGAGAAATGGATTTACTGCAGTTAGAAGCTGATAACCAGCAGAGCTGTGAGAGGCTGCTGCTCAGATTTCAGCTGTTTTGGAGATTTTGAATTAAAACGTTTCTGACTGCTGACCAGAATTATTGATGCCATAATAATTTAAAGAAATAAAAATGCCCATAATCATAGTAATGACCAACAGCTGACAATGCTCGTGTACGTGTTCGTGTGTTTTTACTGATATCTCAGAGTTGTTGAAACTTTCAGTGGTGACTGACGACAATAATCTGCTCATAATGTTCCTGCAGAAAAACTAAACGACGTTTTTCCTCCTGCAGGTGGAA